ATGAGTCTACCATGATTCGATATCGATTTTGGGCCCTGTGATATGAGATAACTGATGAGATCATATATGGTAATTTACACAATCAGTTAGATTTTTATCAAGTTAATAAAAGCAACTAGAATTTTATTTGAAAATTGTATTGCTGAATTCCATTTGTTGTATCTCATAACAACATTGTTTGCACATGGTATGTGCCTTGTCTTTATTTATATGTAAATGGTTGTTGTAAATTGTGTTGTTTTCCCTTTGTATCGATATATTGGATTGCTGAACATTGATACTAATATATTGATCATTATCGATGTATTGTTACACCCCTAGTGTCAAGTTATGTTTAAGATTATGGCTAGTGGAGTAGTTAACAGAAGATAATTGTTGGTGAAGTTTAGTTTTTTTAACCTACATGTCATCAATTTACATTATTCTGTTTTATTTGTAACATTACTGAATACATATTACAAGTAAAATATAGATATATGCCATTTTTGTTGTTTTTGTTGGACGACATGTAGCAAGGTTGGAATCGTACTACCGCCCTGACAGCTATCAGTATTTGATGGCTTGCATTGACATCAGTCTCGGATGAGGATGAAGCCTAAAGACTTTGGTGATCGCCTGACTTTCCCTCTAGCACTAGCATGATGTTTGCTTTATAGGTTGTTGTTATAGGAGTGAAACTTATTGACTTTGTTGGATGAATTAGCATGAAATATTGCACATGCTGAATATGAAAGGTCCCCAGAGGATTACTCCTGCTGATTTTTTGTGATTCCCTGTCTTTTTCTCTAGCAACATTAGCATGTTGAACGTTCAGTTTGTCCAGTTTTTTGGTTTATGACTAATGCATTCAAAACTAATGACATTCCCATGAACCTCTGCTGTGTTTGTGTTTAGTGCTAATTTGCAAATATTATTATGCTAACATGCTAAACTGATATGATGCAATATCACTCCCTGGTGTTTTCTAGCCTGTCCAAAGCCCCATGCAGTGACAACGTTCTCAAACTTCTTTTTACCTCTCACTGCTTATTACTCTCAGGTTGTGTGTGCCGTGTAGGGAAAGGAAAAAGGCAAAAGTTTGTGATTAATTCATAAACATACACCTTAACCTCTATGTAGAGTTAGAGTAGACAGACTGAAGGATGTCTTTGAAGTCTCGCTAAGGCATTTCCATGGCAACAGAGCACTGACTGGGGCTCTTTGTTCTTTACACTGTCAGCGTACACACCCTGTGAATGAATGTTGTCGATACACCGAAGCCGCATCACAAGTGTTTTAGTCTCCAGTGAGACTTCTGGTGACAGATTTATTGATGTCCAGGGACAGACAGACATAACATCCTTTGGTACTAATATAGCAAGGTAAGAGATGAGCTAAAAAATAACCACAAAGAAAGAACTAATCAAAGAACAAACCCTCTGGAGACCGTGTTATGTAACAGAGAATGGACTTAAGTAAGTCTCAGCTTTACAGTACATGTATGTGAGGGAAGGGAGGAGCCATAATAATAAAAACAGACATAATGTATGTATATAATATAATAATATATGACATCAATAATATTCTGTATACAACATAATAATAATGGAGAGAGCTGCAGTACCAACAAGTCATAAAATTATAATGTGAACATAAAAGATTTCAGTCCAGGGTAGCTTGTACAATTGAATATATATATAACACCACATTTTTTTAATTTTATTTTACAGGTCTGTAAATTCCTAGTACTACATTTCCTGGAAAGAAGCATTCAATATTGCACTAATAAATGTAAAATAGAGATTGGTACACTTTTTTTCCACTGGTCAGCTCAACATGCAGAAATGTAAAATGTGTTTACAGACAAACCTGCAAGTCACCATATATAGAAAATTCCAATCAAGGACCACTTAGCCAAAAAAAACAAACAACAAAACCACCTAACTCCCAAGTATTCTCCAAAATAATATAGGCCTACTTCAACAGTATATTACAACAGTTTTATAAATAGCATAGCCTACTACTCATTCATTGTCATCTTAATGGGAAGAATGGTGCTGTTTCTGCTGTGACATCAGTGAAACAATGTCTGGCTCCAAACTGGAGAGTTTTAGTCTCATGTCAGGGTTCAAATTGATCTGGTTGCGCTGCTTTGTTTTCAGACCAACAAGTGTGGAAAATCCAGCTTCACAGTTGTAGGTGATTGGAAATGGCATCAGCAGTTTCAGAGCACAGTCAGTGCTCAGGCCGGATGTGGACCCAAAAGTCTGTCAAACTTTTCTCTCTAAAAGTTGTCTTAAGTGCCCCATCAGATGCAATGTCCACAAGGCTATCAACCTGTCTCGGTAAGAGCTTGAAACTGACCTGGTCAATGTTTATTTTGTCCCCAAATGAATTTCTGATCCACTTAAAGCCTGGTTCTAGCTCTGGAAAATACCTTTCCCAACTGCGAATAAAGGCCCTGCAAATGTTCCTTGCTGGCTGCAACTGTGTCGCCATCTAGCTCCTCTTCAGCAGTGAGGAGAAAATCGTGGAGCAGCGAAAATGTACTTACAAAACACAATAGATTGTTCCTGATGTCAGTTGACTCGTCCAATTGCAGTGAGAAAAATGGGCTTTTGGTCGTAAACGTCATTAGCTGATCTTCAACATTGTCAGCCATACATGTTATTTGCCGCTGGACTGTTTCATTGGACAGAGGTACCCTGTTCATTTCATTGCTTGCTTTCCCCCCAAACAATATGTTCGCCATGACCTTCGCAGCTGGTTTGATTAAATTCACACCCATTGAATGAGGTTTTCAGTTTTTTGCTATTAACAGGGATACCCTCTATGAAGCCTCTGTAGCTTTCGCATTTCCCCAGGTGCAAAAAACTGGGAGGGCTCCTCCATCACGTGTTTCTCTCCAGTAGAGTTTCCCTATGTACTCCTTGTGTTTAGTTTGTAAATGCCGCCTGAGCTTAGCGGGTTTCATAGCTCGTTAGCCAACGATTCATAGCACAAAACACAATATGGTTTTGGATTCTCCTCATCTTCAGTCCAAAAAAATCCAAAATTGATGTAGTCGCTGTGGTATTTTCGTTTGACTTTCCACATTCTTGCCAAGTTTCACTTTAAGGAATTTTGTTTGACAGCGAACCATCTTCCCAGGACTCAATGCTAGCTGAAGCACTTGTTGCTGTTGAACCACTCCAATCAAGGCAATGCATCTTGCCTGTTGTGTTAGACATTTCATTTGATTTTCTTTTAATTGACCCTGTCTGAGATAGTCAATGGTTAGAGCGCGCTTATAATTTTTGGCGTGAATCGTAAAACAGCGGCATAGCACTGTCATAAAACGATCGAATTGGCCAGCTACATTGCTGAAATTCTGTTGTGAACACCGCCAAACACCCAATTTTATTAATTATATTTGAATGTACTTACTAACTGGCTTAATTTTGAAAACAATACATACATGTTACTCCCAAATAAGATTTGTGAAACACTTTTAATTTAAAACATGACCACAGGTGGTCCGCGGACCACTCTTTAAGAATGACTGGTTTAAGTGGAGCTGTTATTTCAAGGAAATTCCCCTCAAAATCAACAACTCAGCACAACTAACCGAACTAACCCCCAATTCTATAATCATTACCACGTTATATACTGTACAGTACTTCTTTCCAGGAAACTTTCATGAAGTTATTTGGAAATAATGCACACAAAATACAGCATTACCACTGGCTTTTTTGTCAACTGCTAGAATTTTTCATTTATATTTGGTAATCTATGTCATGTAAAATGTGTAATGAACCATTTTAGTAGTATCACTCAGAAACACTTTTGATGAAACTTTAATGAATAGCCCGGGCTTTTATTTGTTTACACTGAACTCAACCTGCCTTTATTTGGAACAGGCCTTTAATTCCTTTTGCACAAAACTCTAGCTCAGCAAAGATGGAAATTACTATCAAATTGTTTATTTAAACCAGTATGAATATTATTGTATATTAATTATACCACTGAGTAACATAGATTAGGAATCATTGATTTGATCATTTGATACTTTGGTGCTCATGGTTTCTGTAAAATGAACTGATTGATTGAATTGTGGAGGACTTAACTGATCTAACTAATTCCTATTAAATCCTGACCAGGCCTCTAATTGAGGCAGGGTCTCCATGCATCCATGCAAATCTGGAGAACATGGAAATTTAAAGACTAGTTTTCCAGTCATGGAAACACCTGGAAAATGATTAAAATAACTGATGAAATATCCTGGAAATATTCTATGTTGTCCTGAAAAATGTTACCCCCTCACTTAAATCGCATACATAAACCTGGGTACGTGTTTTATTGAAACTTGCTGCGTGGAATGACACTTTAAAAACTGGAGTTAGACGTGTCAGTACTAGGCCTACCAGTGAATTATATGACCGTTTGTGTCAAATGCTGTCCTCTACTGTCAAAAAATTCCTAGAACTGTCATGGTAAATGATTTCTTAAAAAGAGTGGGAACCCTGTTGAGACATGTGTTTATCCATCAAAAGGGGTCTAGCAAAGGGGACCTGCCTCTAATTGGGACCCTGCTTTTAAGTGAGGTTTTACAGTATTCATTAATTATTAATTCAGGGTCTGTAGACACCTTGTTTGCACATTTCAAAAAACATACATGGAACACAGATAATATATGTGCCAATAGGAGTGTTATGTGAAGAATGTCAACAACCAATATGCCAATATGATGCCAATAAATCCTGCTTCATTTAAAGCTGCCCTTATCAATTTTTTGTAATTACCATTAGATCAAATGACTATTTGTACTGCGAAAGGGACCGCTCATAGTGAAGTCTGATGTATGACCTCATCTGGAAAGGGTTCCCTTGTAGCCTGCCACTGCCCATCCATCACAGTCTGCCAGTGTATACTTGTCAGCGCACCTTGTTAATTAACCCTTGATGGAAAAATCAGTGATGTGTCAGTCAGTGTGTGAGTTAAAGACTAACCTGTCAACATCCTGTCCTGTGTGTGTCTTACAGAAAGCCTACTGTGGCCACTGTAGTGAAAGGATATGGGGGCTGGGCAGGCAGGGCTACAAGTGTATCAACTGCAAACTGCTGGTCCATAAGCGCTGTCACAGACTCATCCCTCAGACCTGCCAAAGGCTTATGGTGAGTATTTCATCATGCCCCGGGCAGCAAACGGCACAGCAGTGTCCTGTCACATCCAACATCAGCACAGTCTCTCAGCAGTTTGGCAAACTGGCGTTTACATGTTGTTGATGATGAAGACTTTATCCCCTCACCAGGAGTATTATGTGCTAGTAGCGCAAGTTTAACACATCTCATATACTTTACATGTTCATGACAGGTTACCTTAGGCTTAACTTTACTACTGCAACTCTTCTTTTAAGTTTGAATCATAAACAGTTTATTATAATATGGGTCTTATTACCATAGTTTGGGCAATCATTACTATTAGAACTTTGTTCTCACCTGACTAATTGCTGAGAACTGGGAGCACGGCAACATGGTGGTCTGAATGGGTCAAGAAACACAAGTCAGACATGTTGTACAGAAGCTAACACAAAATCAAAAGTGTGAACATCCACACAACTGCAGCAAGTACAGTAGGTCCAAGTTAAAGCAGGAAGTTGGCCTGTACACTTTGTTATTGTTCTCATCTGCTTTTGCTTTTGGTAGACTGCATACTGGAATTACAGTATCACAAAGCTTAAAAGAGTACTCCGTTGACTTAGCATTGAACTCCTAGAAAAAAAACCCAAAAAACAATGAATTAATTTATCTCACCTTCTGTGCATAAGAAACTTTAATCACATTTCAGCACATGCTTAATTCTGCAAGAAACAGTGTGTCTGAAAAATATATTGTATAATTTCCACAGTAAAATCCTTCATCTCCTCCTTCTACCTCATTAAAAATTCCAATTCATTTCTAAAGTTTTGCTGCTG